GCAGCCACTGTGTCAATCCATCTGGTTGAGGATCTTCCTTTTTTTCACTGACCCTCTACTTTTACCAAGCCTAATGTCCTTCTCCAGGTAGTAGTCCCTCCTGATAACATGTCCAAAGTATGTGAGACTAAGTCTCACCATCCTTGCTTCTAAGGAGCATTTTGGCTGCACTTCTTCCAAGACAGATTTGTTCATTTTTCTGGTAGTTCATGGTATGTTGAGTATTCTTTGCCAACACTGTAATTCAAAGGTATCAGTTCTTCTTCAGTCTTCCTTTTTCATTGTCCAGCTTTCACATGCATATGAGGCAATTGAAAACACCATGTCTTGGGTCAGGCGCCCGTTAATCCTTAAAGTGACATCTTTGCTTTTTAACACTTTAAAGAGATCTTTTGCAGCAGATTTGTGCAATGCAATATGCCATTTGATTTCTTGATTGCTGCTTCCATGGGTGTTGATTGTGGATCCAAGTAAAATGAAATCCTTGACAACTTTAGTCTCTTCTCTGTTTATCATGATGTTGCTTATTGGTCCAGTTGTGAGGATTTTTGTTTTCATGTAAGTAGAGTCGTATAATATTTGTTCTTTTGTGTCTGACTAATTTCACTTAACTTAATGTTTTCAAGGTTTATTCATGTCATAGCTTGTATTAGAAACTTACTTTTCTTTGACTGAATAATATTCCATTGTATGGATATACCACATTTTGTTTATCCATTCATGTATTGACGGACATTTGAGTTGTTTCCACCTTTTAGTTATTGTTAATAATGCTACAACGAACACTGGTGTGCTAGAATTTCTTTGAGTTTCTGCTTTCAAGTCTCTTGGGTGTATACCTAGGAATGGAATTCCTGGGTGTCTTAGGCTGGGTTCTCTAGAGAAGCAAGACCAGTAAAGTGTATAAATATATATATAGAGAGAGATTATATCAAGGAAACAGCTCACGCTATTGTAGAGGCTAGAACGTCCCACATCCGTGGATCAGGGTAGAGGCCTCTCCCAAGTCACACAGCTGCAGAAGCTGGCAAGCCCAAGATCGGAAAGTCGGAGAGCAGGGCTCCCACTCACAGGCTGTGCAGATCAGCGAATCCCAGGTTTGGCAGATAAGCTGACAGCTCAAGTCCCAAGAACAGGAGATGAGACGACAGGAAGCAGCCACAGGATCCAGAGAGAGCAAAAAGCCAGAACGTCTGCTTGTATACAGATGTGGGCCACACCCCCAAGGAGACTCCCTTTCATCTGATTGGCTACTCACAGTATATTCAATCATGGGAGTGATTACATTAAAACACAGAGAATCATGGCCCAGCCAAGTTGACACACAATCTTAACCACCACACTGGGTCATATGGTAATTCTATATTATACTGTTTGAGGGCCTATATAACCTTTTGATGAGAAGTCATCTGTTAACGTACATTGTTTTCCTATTTTTTTGTATACAACATGTTAGTTTGCACTTGCTGCTTTCAAGATTTTCTCTCATCTTTGGCTGTCAGCCTTTGAACTACATTATGTCTAGGAGTGATTTTTTTTTGTCATTTTACAACTTGACTAACTTTTTGGATTTGTAAATTAATGTTTTCCTCAAAATTTGGAGTGGTTATGGACATTATGTCATCAAATATTTTTCTGCTTTCTCTCCTCTTCAAGGATTCCAATTATATGTATGTTGGACCCCTTTAAATTGTCTCGCATAGGTTTTAAATTTTTTCATCTTGTTTTTTTCTCCTTTTTTCTTCAGATTTGGTAATTTCTATTGATACATCTTTAAGTTCACTGATTCTTTCTTTCACTGTCTCCACGCTGCTGTTGAGCCCACCCAGCATTTGTTTGTTATTGTACTTTTCATTTCTGAAGTTAACTTACTTTATCATTTCTATTTTTTTGTTCTTGTTAAGATTTCTTCTAATTCATAGATAATGTATTTTCTTTAATTTATCGAATATATTTTATTTCCTTGAACATATTTACAGTAGTTGCTTTGATGTTTTGATCACTATGTCCAACATCTGGGTCCACTTGGTGACAATTTCTATTGATTTTTAATTTTTTTTTAGTAGGTTGTCATATTTTCCTTTTTCTTTGACTGTCTAGTAATTTTTGGATGAAAAGCAGACATAGATAAATTTTATAGCGACTCTGGAGTCTGTCATGTTCTTTTGGGGAACATTGGGTTTTTGTTCTAGTAAGCAGTTTACTTGCCTGGATTCAAAGCATATACTCTGTCTTCCTGTTGCTACTGATACCTGTTTTTATGAATTCCCATTGCTGCTCTTTTTATCTTGGCTTTTGTAGGCTTCCCCACTGCCTGCCAAATTTGGCAGTCAGCCCAGGATTTGGACAGAAGATTTAGCTCATTCTTCTGTAGGGATTGTCTTGAAATTTTCAACTGCTCTGCCAGCTTCAGACGTTTTACTCTGATACTTTCAACCTGTCTAGCTTCAGCTTTTTGCCATGTGAGCTGCACACTTGAGTACACTCAGTTAAGCAAACCTTCAAATCCATAGCTCTGGTTCCTCATAGCTCAATCTTTCTATAGTATATTTCATTCTGATTTCTTCCTGTGTTTTTGATGGGCTCCCTGCTGCCTCTCCTACACTTGTGTAGTTTAGCTGTCAGTCAGGGATTTGGGCTATTTATTCTCTGAGTTGCCAGTTCTTTTCCCAGCCCTTAAGTCTAATTTATGGCACCTTTAGTGACCTCTGTTTTCTGCAGACATTGCCATGAGACTTTGGCAGTGCCTTTGGGCCAATAAGCTTGTGATGTACCGAGTGAAATAAATTAGACAGTGCAGAGCTCTTTGAATCAGAATAAATAATCACACTACTCACTGACGTAGTCACAGGACAATGATAGATGAAGTAGGGTTCATCAAGAGCCAGGTTCTTCCAAAAGGCTCCCATCCAAGGGTTCAATGTTTGGTTACTTCCATGCATGCCCCGCAGTGCGTCGTGGGTGAGACAACAAAAGGACAAAGGAATGCAGGGCTTATATACAGGGACAGATTACCCAATAAGCAAGGTACATATGGGCTTAATTGTGCTTAGTTACTAATCTGTAGTGCACAATTATAGTGCACAGTTACACTCTTGTCTTAGTCATCTAGTGCTGCTATAACAGAAATGCCACAAGTGGATGGTTTTAATGAAGAGAAGTTTATTTCCTCACAGTCAAAGTAGGCTAAAAGTCCAAATTCAGGGTGCCAGTTCCAGGGGAAGTCTTTCTCTCTCTGTCAGCCTTCTCATCAGTATTCCCCCAGACTAGGAGCTTCTAGGCGCAGGGACCCCTGTCCAAAGGACGGACTCTGCTCCTGGCACTGCTTTCTTGATGGTATGAGGTCCCCTGTCTCACTGCTCACTTTTGTCTTTTATATCTCAAGACATTGCCTCAGGATACAATCCAATCTTGTAGACTGAGTCCTGCCTTACTAACACAACTGCCACCCATCCTCCCTCATTAACATCATAGAGACAGGATTTACAATTTATAGGAAAACCACGGAATACCAGGAATCATGGCCTGGCCAAATTGATACACACATTTTTTGGGGAACATAATTCAATCCACGACAACTCTCCTCTAGCTTCTGTCTACCTGTTATGTTTTCCAGTATCTAAGTAATTTTGTTTTTTAAATTTTATATAATTTTTTATAGTTGTTATCTTTAGGGTTTCACACAGTCACTTCTCTTACAGTACTAGAAGTTGCAAGGCCCTTAGTAACTATAAATAGCTAATTTTAAGGAAAGTATTATTAAACACCCTTGTTTATGGTTTATGTGTGAAGGACAAGTACAATAAATATAAAAGATCTGTTGCCCATGTCAGTTTTTCCCAAATACTGTTCATCTTGTCATTGAATGGCCTGTAGCTCTGTTTTAGGCCACTTAATGTCGATATCAGCTACTTGACTGTGTCGCTACTATTTGCTTAACATTTGGTTGGATCTCTTTACCTTAATCCTTAGTTGGTTATTTGGTATTGTCACAGTATCTAGTAATTCTCAAAAAATTTAACCATTTAACTTCATCCCTTAGGGATGTAGGTGTGGGACCAAATAGATTCAGTTGGCCCATGCCCTAAACTTCAGGAGGCTTCATTATTGACTACTGTTTATTGACATATATGTACAGGGGAGTGGGATGAGGCCTCATCACAAATACACTTTAGATGGTATCTTTTATATAATTTTCTAAGAGCCGTTTTTCCAACAACTATGATAGTTGTTGTTATTTACTCAGAGTTTCTGATTGGAACCAAGTTGATTTTATGAGTAAAGGATATGTTGATTGTCCCACCTCAGCTTTCTGTTTATTTAGCAATTCTGTGTACCCAAAGGGCAGAGCGAGATATTACCATTGGATGATCATATATATTTTTGCTACATGTATAAAAAGATTGTTTTTATGGATTTAGAATAACTGTTTAATAAATATTAGCCCAAGAGAAAAAAGGTCCACATAAACCAGAGATTCCATCAGCCTGAGACCAGAAAAACTAGGAGGTGCCTGGCTACTATCAATGACCACCCTGACAGAGAACACAACAGAGAGTCCTGGATGGAGTGGGAGAAAAGTGCGGAACAGAACTCAAATTCATGTAAAAAGACTAGACTTAATGATCTGACTGAGACTGGAGGAAGCCTCGAAGCTATGGCTCCCAGATGGCTCTGTTAACCCAGAACTAAAACCGTTTCCAAAGACCACTCTTCAGACAAAGATTAGATTGAACTACAAACCGTAAAATAATACTCGTGAAGAGCATGCTTTTTAGTTCAATCAGATACACAAGACCAAATGGGCGGCTTCTGTCCGGAGGCAGGATGAGAAGGCAGGAAGGGACAGGAACTGGATGAATGGACACAAGAAACCTGGGGTGGAAAGGAGGAGTGTGCTCTCACATTGTAGGGATTGCAACTAATGTCATTAAAAATAAATAAATAAATAAAACACGAAAAAAATAACTGGGTATTTTTTTGTATATTTTATTGTACAGGTGCGATTACTAGCCAAGAAAATTATCTGTTCATATTTGAACTTGCTAGTAAATTCAAAGAATGACCTGGCTTTGGCTCATATTCTTAATATTCCTGATAGAGGACTTGGAAGAGAAGCCTTCACAGACCTGAAACATGCTGCTCGAGAAAAACAGCTGTCTATCTTTTTGGTATGGACATGATAATGTTTTCAAGATTGTTTAAAGCCTGTTTTTGAACAGAGGAACCATGTACTTTAATGTAGAGTTCTTATAACTATAATGAAACAACTTTCAAATTAATTTATTTTCTGCCTATATATTTGAAATCCATAGTATTTTTATCTTCTGCTTCATCCTTGAAGTTTGGCAAGGGAGCATTTCTCTAAAGCACTGTTTCCCTAGATGTGGTCTGTAGCATACTAGCAATGTTAAATGCTCCTTGTATGTTTCCAAGGGCAAAAAGTTCCTGTTAAATGCCCTTTTAATAAATGCTTACAAGAGGAAAAAATCTGGGGATAATATCTACCCCTCTTGGATATTCATAATGCATATTTGTATTTCAAAAGCTTGGAGAAGTCGTGCCATAGAGAAATCTATTTTAAGTTTGTTTTTTAATCCATTGTTTCCTAAGTTACTTGACCATGGAATCTTCCCCAAAATTACTGATATTTCATAGAATTTGTCTTTCTTAGAACATGCTTTGGAAAATACTACTTTTGTACATTTAACCTTTGATGGAGATGCTTATGTATAGCCATCACACATGTATCTTTATCATGATCAAATAATTCTAGGATGTGATAGCTAGATGGGACTTAGTTATACCTAGTCTAAATCTTTAGTTTACAAATAAAGAAGCTAAAGTTTAGAAAGGGGTTGTATGAATTATTGAGTCAATTCATTTATTTACTGTAACAGATCAGTTAACACTGATCTGTTACATATAACAGTGTTCCATTTAACAATTCCATATAACAATGTTCCATATAACAATTCCAATAGCCACTAGTCAATCTATATAAGAATATATTCATAAAATAATTCTTTGTAGTTAATGATATATTTTTATGGAAGTGTCCTTATTACATTAATGTCCCCCTAACTCGGCTTCTCAGTCTACCTACAGCTAGGTGTCATTGCCACCACCGTTGCTGACATGTCACCTGTTTGTTATTTGCTTCTGATTCACAGTGTGGTATGAATTATAAAAGTGCTCCACTTCAACTGTATACCCTGAATTCATGTAGCTGTACCTAGCTTCATAAAGTAAATTTTAGTTTTAATTTACTAAATCATTAAACATAACTTAATCATACGTTTTAATTCATAGGTGGCGACGTCATTCATTCGAACAATACAGCTTGGGGGGAAAGGATATGCACCATCACCCTCTGATCGTTTAAGGGCACATGTAAAGGGATTGTCTAATTTTATTAATTTCATTGACAAATTAGGTGAGATTCTTGGAGAAATCCCAAATCCAAGGTAATGACTTTTCATAAATTACAACTGTGTGTTGTTAATGTGTCTTTAAAACTTCACAGAATCAGAGATAGAAATATAAGAGATAATGAAGTGAGCAAGCATCCGGCCAAGCAGTAGGAAGAAGAAACAGAATAACCTAGATGCATAAAGTACAATCACTTGACCTTTGCCCATAAATTTCTGTTTAGCTTTGTTTCTAAGAGTTTTACCAAAGTCAAAAGGTATGTTCAAATTAAATTTGATTGGAAAAGAGAGTTTACCATTTATTCTTATCTGGAGAAAACAGATTTGGGGGAACTGAAAATGACCTAATAGATAATTTCTTTAAACTTTTTATTTAGCAAAAAAGGAAACTGATGTTAAGGAAATTGACAGAGATATGATGAATACCCAATTCTTTTGTTAGTTTTTGTATTTTCTTACATGTAAGTCTTTTATTCATCTGGAATTTGTGTTTATATTGTATTAGAGGTAAGAGGTTTTTCTTATATGATAGACATTTGTATTTTGGGTATATTGGATGGTGAATAATTTTTAGATAAATTTTTGAGGGCAGAAGTGGGCTGTATATGCTAGCACACATGGTAGATCACTGTCAGTTTGGTTGGTAAGCCATTGCACATTACTAATAAAAATAGCTGACATTTATTGAACACTTACTATGTGTCAGAAAAGGAGCCCTGGTGGCTTAGTGGTTAAGTGCTTGGTTGCTGACTGAAAGGTCTGCGGTTCAAACTCACCAGCTGCTTCGCAGGAGGCAACTGTGACTGTCTGCTTCTGTAAAGATTACAGCCTTGGAAACCCAATGGGGCAGTTCTGCTCTGTCCTGTAGGGTTGCTGTGAGTTGGAATCGACTTGACACCACTGGGTTTGGTTTTTGTTTTATTACGTGTCAGAGGATTGCCAGGATGGCAAAAATGGTTAAGTGATTGACTACTAACTGAAAGGTTGGAGGTTCTAACCCATCAGAGGTTCCTCAGAAGATGGGCCTGGTGATCTACTTCCAAAAGTCCCCTGCCTTGAAAACCCTGTGGATCAGTTCTACTCTGTACTCATGGGGTCACCATGAGTTGGAATCAATTTAACAGCAACTAACAACAACATCAACAACATACTATCTATGCTCAGACTTTCATCTTTCCTTGCTTGGACTATAGCACTTGTCTCTGAGTTGTCCATTCTGTCTCCAGTCTCACATTGGCCCATCCTGTTGTCCTCACTGCTGCCAGGTGATCTTTCTTAACTGCAAATATTACTCTGTTGGTTATAGCCCTTCAGCATTTCCATATTAAGTACAGGATAAAACTATAGAAACCTTAGTATAATATACAAAATTCTAAATGATCTGTTCCCTGTCTCTCACTCTGGCCTCTTCATTTTTCAATCTTAAAACTTAGAGATAAAAATATATTGAACTCTTATGTCTGAGGATAAGTTTCTATTACTTGTCTTATAATAGGGTGATGTGGCAAGGAATCACAGCAATCATTGAGCACAAGAAAAGATGGAAAATAGACAGGGAAGAAATAAAAAAAATAATTGAGTCTCACATTCGTCTCGCCATTGCCAGCTGTTCATTAGACCATCTTAGCTTCAGTTTGGTTGCATTTTCACACTTTGCCAGTAGGTGCCACCACAAAATGCATACTACACTTTCACCTGGAAAGTGTCTTAAATTAAGAGGTTTTACGTTATATAGGGTCAGTATGAGTCGGAACCGACTCGACAGTAATGGGTTTTTTTTTTTCCTTATTGTTATTTTAGGTTATTTTAGGTTATATAGATTAGTTTGCTATCACTTATAAGTTTAAAATTTTATATTTCAAGTTTATTACACAGCAGAATTTTTAATTGACACCTGCATTATGTATATTGGATTACGTATCATGCATGTATAGAATGTATCTGGTTGAAATTACCCAATCCAATCTCCAAATGTTACAAATTTTCTCATTTAAAAATATTCCAGAAGCATTTCTGATACATTTTATGTGACATCTTTAATCATATTAAAGGTAAAATTAATTTAGCAAATAGTTATCAAATTCTTGAAGACAGTAGGGAAAAGCCAGTAACTTTATGGTGGTACAAACAGTTAATGCCCTCAGCTGATAACTGAAAGGCTGGCAGTTCGAGCTACCCAGAGGCACCTCTTAAGAAAGGCCTGGTGATCTACTTTGAAAAATCAGCCATTGAAAACCCTATGGAGCACATTTTATTCTGACACACATGGGGTCGCCATGAGTTAGAATCGACTTGATGGTACCAAGTTACTGGTTTATTTAATAATGTGAAGGTAGTCAGCAATTACACTGATATATTACCAGTCATTTCTCTGTGTTATTGAGTATTATCTTTTTAGTTATTTTGTTTTGGTATAAGCTTGAGAATTTGGCTTTTTTTTTCCTCCCTCAGTAGTCTCATTTTTCTGTTTATGTCCCAGGGCTCTGGTGTGATGCAGTTAGGAGTCAGAAGCTGCAGTTTATCTTTTTCTCACCTAAACAGTCCTATTAATGTTTATCTAGAATAATTATAATGTATCTTTTGGGAAGCCTTCCTGAATACCTCCTTGTTCCCTCTACCTCCCCACTCAAACTCCCTCTATACCTTTAGTTCGTATAGTATCATATAAAGTGTGACCTTTCAAAGAGAAAAGTTTTTAATTTATTTTATATCCCTGGTGCTTAGCACTAATGCTTTCCTGTCTAGGCTCTAGGAGCAAGGGTTTGAATTAAGCCCCCATGGAAGGAAGACCTGGTGATCTACTTCTGTGAAGATTACAGCCAAGAAAATGCTATGGAGCAGTTCTACTCTGTAACAGAAGGGGTCGCCATGATTCAGAATGCACTCCATGGCAATGAGTTTGGTTTTGGTTCTGGTTGCTGAGTGGAGGATCCCGGGTGGTGCAAACAGTTTGCACTCGACTATTAACTGGAAGATTGGTGGTTCAAACCCACTCAGCTACACCATGGAAGAAAGGCCTGATAATCTGCTTATTTAAAGATTAAAACCAAGAAAACCGTATGGAGCAGTGGTACTTTGTAACACATGGGGTCGCCATGAGTCCAAATTGACTTGATGGCAGTGGGTTTGGGTTTTTTTTGTTTTTGGTTGCTGAGTGGGTATTAGAAGAGCTAACAGTTGGTGTGATAGTGAATGTGTAGCAACATAGTAGTCATAGCTCTGGTATTTGGGTTTTTTTGCCAGGGGTCAAAATGTGGACCTTGGCAAGTACCGGAAATAAAAGTTTTATAATTTTTTTCTAAGCACAGTTCAATCAGTGAATTAAAATTTGGCAAATTTTTTCCTGTAAATGGAATGAGAAAAAGGGGGAAAAAATAACTCTTTCCTAATATCATTTGAAGCATTTTTTTTTTTTTTTGGTTCTTGTAACTGACATTAAGATAACTCTTTCATATTTTATTATGATTTTGAATCTTTTCCAGTGTCCTTTTCCATTAGAGATTAATTCCCAGAAAAAGTACATAGTGTTAATTTTATTTTCCTTTTGGCTGCATCTCATGCAATTCATTTCTGTGCTTTTAATTGAAAATTAAGAAAAAACTAGGTGAAAAAGATAGTGGCTGTATATGTAAATGAATTCCTAGAGTCTGCTCACACTTCTGATTATATAGGTCCCCTGACTGACCCTTTCACTGAAAATAATTTAAAATACTGAGTAACATTTTAAAAATGTTTCTTAAATGTGTGGATAAACAGGCAAATGTAAGAAAAACACAGGCCACAAACTAGGTGAAGGAGAAAAGCCAGAAAGGGAAGTCAAGCGAAGAAGCCAGCTTTTGTTTTGAAAGTATTTGCCGAATCTGGTGAATTTGAGGTTTTGTTTTTATAGCCTCTGTTATGGCTTGATTGTCCTCCCCAAACTATATGTTGTAAATCCTAACTCCTCTACCTGTGATTGTAATCCCATTGGAGAATAGGCTTTCTTTGTTATGTTCATGAGACAGTATTAGTGTAGAATCAATTTCTTTCAAGATATAAAAAGACCAGATTAAGCAAGGAAACAAAGCAGAGATGAGAGAAGATAAGTGCCACACCACATGAAGATCACCAAGGAACTAAGGAACAAGGACTGTCCTCCAGCACCAACAGAGAGAGAAAGCCTTCACCTAGAGCCAGTGCTCTGAATTCAGACTTCTAGCCTCCTAAACTGTGAGAAAATAATTTCTTTTGTTAAAGCTGCCCATTTGTGTGTGGTATTCCTGTTATAGCAACGCTGGATAACTAAGACAGCCTCTAAAGTGTCAGAGGATGGGGCAAAGTCCAGGGACTGTCCAAAGTGGGACATTTAACAGGAAACACATACCTACCCTAAAGGGCTGTGATCTCAGTGTAAAGATGAAAATAAGGACACTTCCTTTACCTGATAAATGGTTTCTATAAAAACAAAAATGTAAAAAAAAAAAAAAAAAATCCTCACAACCGGACCAATAAGCAACATCATGATAAACAGAAAAAAGTTTGAAGTTGTCAAGGATTTCATTTTACTTGGCTCAACGGTCAACACCCGTGGAAGCAGTAGTCCAGACTTCAAAAGATGCATTGTACTGGGCAAATCTACTGCAAAAGACCTCTTAAATGTGTTGAAAAGCAAAGATGTCACCCTGAAGACTAGGGTGTGCCTGACCTAAGCCATGGTGCTTTCAGTTGCCTCATATGCATGTGAAAGCTGGATGATGAATAAGGAAGACTGAAGAAGAATTGACACTTTTGAATTGTGTTGGCAAAGAATATCGAATATACCATGGACTGCCAAAAGAACAAACAAATCTGTCTTGGAAGAAGTACAACCAGAATACTCCTTACAAGCAAGGATGGCGAGACTACATCTCACATACTCTGGACATTTTATCCGGAGGGATCAGTCCCTGGAGAAGGACATCATGCTTGGTAAAGTAGAGGGCAGCAAAAAAGAGGAAGATCCTCAACAAGATGGACTGACACAGTGGCTGCAACAATGGGCTCCGGCATAGCAACGG